ATATATAATAATGTAACAAGGAAACTACTGTTGAGTGGATTCAGACACATGTAAATCTTCTGTTGGGATTCCAAGGCTAACCAGATCTTAACTCTCTGCTGACCTTTGGGTTACAGCCCAACATTAAACCTACCATGTAATAAAAAAACAATCTAGAACCTGTTGGCATCAAAGTGATTCCAATAGGACTCAGTGACTATACAGGACAGTAGAACTGTCCCACAGGGTTTCCAAGGCTGGGTTTCTAAGAGAAGTAGATTGCCACATCTTCCACCATGTAAATGACTTGTAGGTTTGAACACTCAACCTTATGGTTGAGTGCAGCTGAGCACTTAACCACTGCACCACCAGGGTCTCTTAAGCACATAATTCCCCAGTTGTTTCAGCTGATAAGGAATGGCCTTCCATTGGGCTTCCAAGAGAAGAAGGCTGTCATTCCTTTTCTCCTTCAGACTAGCTGATGAATTTGATCTACTGACCTTTGGGTTAGTGGTGCAATATTTAGTACACTGTTCCATCAGAGCTTGTACCTTTTTTAAAAAAAGAACATGGCTTCCCCTATCTCTAAGAAACTTGTCTTCATACACTTAATAAACTTCTAATGCTCAGCATAAAGTCAAATCTAGCTTTTTCAAGGTTGGGTTCTGTTTTTGGCTCATGGTAATAGACTAATTCTACAAAGTATTGGGGTTTCTTTTCAATCATGAATTTGATCCTGACATGGGTTTGACTGGGTAGTTCTAGGACCCGTGTAGATCCAAGGCAGTTTTCAAAAAAAGAAGTAGTAAAAAAATAACAAAAATCCCCCAATTCCTGTGGAGGCAACTCTTTTTCATCTGTGCCAGAATAGAGCTGTTCTCCATAGGGTTTTCCGTGGCTGATTTTTTTGGATGTAGTTTGCCAGACTTAGCTTCTGAGGTGCTCTGCATGGATTCAAATCTCCAGCCTTTGATATAACAGCTGAGTATGTTGTTTGCACCAGCCGTGGACTCCAAGGCAGTTATCCTGCAAATATATGAGAGTCAGTTCAGAAAGAATAGATAGCTTATTGCAAATCCATCACCACTTCTGGAAAGCATAAAAAAGTGATGAATCTTTGCAAGAAGAACAATCCTCCTCCCAATTCCTTCTGCCAAGAGAAACCAGGCAGGTGACCTTTTCTCCCTGGGCTTGACTGTTGATTAATTCCCTGTGTCAATGACACAGTTCTAAACTCTATTAAAAGTACTCTCCCTCTTGTCTTTGAAACCAGGGCCAGGGAAGTGGGGACCACACAAATTATGTTAACATATCTCAACCTTCTGTTTAGACTGCTATTAGGAAAGCCCTCTAAGGCCTAGGGGTTGATTGTGTGGATTAAATGAGTAAATATTTGTAATATTCTCAAAACAAGCATCTGGCACATAGTAAGTGCAATCTAAGTGTTTATTGGTGGAATAGAGAATTTTCCTAGTCAAGGGAGCTCTGCTGCCAGTAGTCCCTAGAGTGTTTTACTGCCAACCCAAAGGCAATACAGTGACTCTCTGGGGGTTCAAGTTCACGACCAAGAGAGGAAGACAGGCAATCTCCTCCCGTGAGATTTACAGTCTCTGAAAACTCATTGGAGGGTCAGCTCTGTGTAGTTTCCCACACAACCGCAACGAGTGAGTGATAAGTCAAAACCAGAGGCTCCTTGAGTTCCAGGCAAGATCCTCTTTCCTAATCCTATACCTCTACAGTTAGACCACGCTTTCCATATGCTTCTGTTTTGGCTCAGGAAGACCAGCTGGAGTGCCCGAGTCTGGCAGGAATTAACTAAAACCCACATTCTTCAGCTGACGGTCTTGTTTCTTGAGATTACCTTCTGGACGCGTCATCGTTTACATCTTTCTTTTCCACAGGAAGGCTCTGATCTGTTTCTTGTATGGCTCGTGAGTTCTGAGGAGCAGCGAGCAATGGGATTTTGCATTGTCCAAGCTGCCCAACTTTCTCTTAACTAGGAAAATGTCATGGAGTTTTCAAGCCTGGGCACTGATTATTTGGCCCACTATACACTTGCCCATCTTACAGAAT